AATATAACAGACGAGACGAAAGACGAAAAACACCGAGACGTAACAGAAAGGAAATAAACGAATAGAACATTTTCGAAGCCTATTGAAGGTGAATTTTTTAAGGCGAACGATAGGAAGAGCGTTTTACATGCTAGGAGATTCCGCTACCGACAGTCGCCGCGCACGTTATAAATCCGCACGATTTTTATATATTGCTGTACCGAGATGGAAAGATTGTTCTCAGAATATATTTGGTGTTAACTTTGTAAATACTCTCTCACAATTATTTTAATTCCCGTCTCGTATCGAAGCGTCTAAGTAATTCGACGCGCGCATAACCAAAGACTCTTCAATTTCTTGGTCTGAATCTGTATCATATTCCGATGATTGCGATTTACATGACGTCGATGGTAAAGGCATATCCATTCTACCCAAATAAAAGTTATCTACATTAAAATAATCGACACAATTTTTGTACCGAGATGGAAAGATTGTTCTCAGAATATATTTGGTGTTAACTTTGTAAATACTCTCTCACAATTATTTTAATTCCCGTCTCGTATCGAAGCGTCTAAGTAATTCGACGCGCGCATAACCAAAGACTCTTCAATTTCTTGGTCTGAATCTGTATCATATTCCGATGATTGCGATTTACATGACGTCGATGGTAAAGGCATATCCATTCTACCCAAATAAAAGTTATCTACATTAAAATAATCGACACAATTTTTGTAGCAACGCTGAAAACATGCGACTCGCTTGTGTCGTTTAGACGATCTGGTGCATTTAAATAAACCACCAGTCATTTTTAAAATGTCTTCGTGAATTTTCAGGAAATCGGCAACATCTTTTGTGTGATTTTTTAACACCGAGTTCACGATTTCTTAAATATTGAATGATCGAAGTCACAGAAATGTTTTTCGATTTTTCTCGAGTCGCCATCCTCGCTTTAAATGTTCCAGTCTTTAAAAGTTTAATATTTTATTGTTCACAAATAGGACACAGACTCCACAATACAGTTTGATACAGATACACTCCACAATTGTAGCATTTATCCCCTGTCAGTAAACCGCAAGGTCCTGTCATGTGATCACGCACAGCACGAGCACGTGAAAACAGATCGTTTACTCGGAGAAAACAATCCGTGCAAAATTTTTCACCAACATTGTTTTGAAAATAAAAAAAAACACTGTACATTACATGGAGATCGTCAATTGCACGAATTTCTTGCTTTCTCAAAATCCGCATCTTTTTCTTCTTATAACGACTGTGGCAATAACTTAAACTGTTAAAGTCCGAATCTGCCGAAATTGATGATGCTGATGATGATAATTCGTTCATTTCACTTTCCATCACTTCTTCAATCGCTTCTTCATTGTCTACTTCCATATCCTCGCCATCTATTATAATTACATCTTTCTCATCTGGGACAATAATAATTTCAGGTTCTTCCTCATCTGGGACAATAATAATTTCAGGTTCTCTCTCAAATATCGTAGGTAGACACTTCTTCACTTCGCAAATATCGTAGACCTTATGACATCGTGGACCCGCTCTTCATAAGTTTCAGCCTCTCAAAAAATCTCCACAAAGGACTATCATAGTGATGAAATCGGCCTCTACCTGTTTAATTGTTTACAAATTCGAGCAGCCTAACGTTGGCGCCCATGTGTTGCAATTAAAAAAAAAAAAAAAAAAAGGAAGATGTTTCTCTCCCGTTTATGGGAGATTTTCCGCGAGGATACAAAACTGCCGAACGTCAGCGCTGTTACACTCGTATCGCCTATAAATAACATTTTGACAGTTCGTCGCAACGTTGGCGCTAAAATCTCAATTCCCTTCTGTATGGCAGAACAATAAAATGCCAAAAAAAAAAGAGTTTTATGGATTTTGGAGTGCTCGGTTTTAAATTAGGACAGTCATAAACCCCCGCCCCGCATGACGTCATCCCCCGCGCCCTCAAGATATCCCCTCGCCCCGCACCCCGCTCAGAGGACCTGCGTTAGAACCCGCCTTATATCACTACTATAATACAATATAAACGTTTCGACCGCACGCGGTCTTCTTCAGTATAGGAATTAAAAGTAGATGATCATAAGTGATTGTAAGTCGCAATTTTATCGCCGAATTAGTGCATGTCGTGTTAAATCAAATTACAAAACGTTAGTATATTTCTTACGGATTGATCGCTCTATTGAGATGTTTGGCCGATCCCATAGATTTCATCGTTAGTATGCGATTTTATTTTAACATCCACCTATTTTACCTTCAAAGATAAGATTTATAAACAAACTTATGGGACTCCCATGAGCTCTCCATTGTCTCCGATTATAGCCGACATGGTGATGCAGGATTTAGAAAACATAGTTTTGAATTCGTTAAACATAAAATGCACATTATATTTCCAATACATCGATGATATTTTGTTAACCACTTCTAGTGAGAACATGACTCGGATTGTTGATGGTTTTAATAAATACCACGACAGATTAAAATTCACCGTAGAACAGGAGGTTGGCCGCTGCTTAAACTTTTTAGATTTGTCTATTATAATAACGAAATAATCGCAACAGATGCGCACGCATATTCAGATTTCTCTCGATTTCGAAGATCAACCGTGACAGCCAGTCCAAGATACTTGTTTCTTTTGATATAAAATTACTGTTTAACGTCAAGATTCTTAGACGAGTTATGAGAGAAAAAACTAAACTACCTTTATTATTTTGTCGTAGATATTACTTAAATTGTCGGTATCCTTTTGTAAGTTAATAGCGTTATTATTATTCTTAATAAAAAACATTTCAGCGATTTCTCTTTTTCTTACGTGTTTTTCGCTGTGCAAAATAACCGGCGAAGTCCAGTCAAAATTGTGATCGAATTCAATTTTATGTTTGCTGATAACTGATAAATTACTCGAATGCATTTTGATGTTGCTGAAATGTTTCTTCACACGTGTACATAGATGTCTCTTTGTTTGTCCGATGTATGACACGTTGCAATCATTACAATTAATTTCGTAAACTACTTCAGTCTTTTTATCTGTAGGCAGTCTATCCTTGCCGAGTGTAATTAAATCGATAACGTCTAAGCTATTAACATAAGGTAGTAAAATGAAAGATTTATCAACAATATTTCGCTCATTATTCGATTCATTCATGTTTCTGTGTTTTAAAAAATTAATCCTTTTATTAACCCAACGATCAATTACATGTTTAGGAAAGCAGTTATTAAATAAAATCTGTTTCACGATATTAATATTCTCGTCGTGAAACTGGTCATTAGATAAGAGAATCCTCTACGCATCATTGTATCTTCATTAGGTAGTCCAGTATATAATGTTGCTAAATATATTCATAATATTTTACATAGTTCTAATTTATTACCGAAATCTTACGTTAAGGATGGCTGGACGTTTCCCGCAAATTTACAAGATAAAATTATTGACGACAATAATACTTTGATTTCTTTAGATGTGACCGTTCTATACACTAATATTCCAAAAGAATTGGTTTTACGCGCTATTGAGAAACGATGGAGTGACATTTCTTAAAATACGGATTTCAGTCTTGCTCAGTTCTTATATACCGTCGAATTTATTCTAAATTCTACTAGTTTTAGCTTTAATGAACAATATTACGAACAAATCTTTGGTAGTCCCATGAAATCTCCTCTCTCACCCATCTTGGCAGACATGATGATGGATGATCTCGAAACACATTGTTTAAGTCAACTTAGTTTCAATGTTCCGACTTATTATAGATATGTTGACGATATTTTTGCTATTATTTCAAAGACCAAAATCCACGAAATAATTAATACCTTTAATAATTATCACCACCGTTTAACCTTTACATATGAGACGGAATCAGACGGATGTATTATTTTTTGAATAAAACGATCTCTCGGTCAAATGGAAAGCTTGTAACAAATTGGTACAGGAAGAACGCGTGTTCGAACAGATATATGAATTTCTTTTCCAATCACCCTTTTAGATATAAAATGAACACAATTTTTAATCTTGTAGATTACGCGATTCTCTTATCTAATGACCAGTTTCACGACGAGAATATTAATATCGTGAAACAGATTTTATTTAATAACTGCTTTCCTAAACATGTAATTGATCGTTGGGTTAATAAAAGGATTAATTTTTTAAAACACAGAAACATGAATGAATCGAGTAATGAGCGAAATATTGTTGATAAATCTCCTTTCATTTCACTACCTTATGTTAATAGTTTAGGCGATATTAATCGAATTTTTAAAAATATCGGATTTAATGTTGTTCATAATATTCCTAAAAAACCGAATCATTTAATTACACTCGGCAAGGATAGACTGCCTACAGATAAAAAGACTGAAGTAGTTTACGAAATTAATTGTAATAATTGCAACGTGTCATACATCGGACAAACAAAGAGACATCTATGTACACGTGTAAAGGAACATTTCAGCAACATCAAAATGCATTCGAGTAATTTATCAGTTATCAGCAACCATAAAATTGAATTTGATCACAATTTTGACTGGACTTTGCCGGTTATTTTGCATAGTGAAAAACACGTAAGAAAAAGAGAAATCGCTGAAATGTTTTTTATTAGAAGAAAAATAATAACGCTATTAATTTACAAAAGGATACCGACAATCTAAGTAATATCTACGACAAAATAATAAAGGTCGTTTAGTCTCTCATAACTCGTCTAAGAGTCTTGACGTGTTGTCAAACCGACACTATGTTCGTTCTTGACTTCTTAAAATTATAATTTTATTTTTATTTTCACAAGTATGTTTCGCTTCTTTTTATTATTTTGTAATATTGTTAAGTGAAGTAATTTTTTTTATTGTATTAATCTCTGTACTGTATTTCTTCTCTATGTATATCTAGATCACTTGATAAGGACTCAAAGAAGGGTCGTGATTTAATAAATAATATTTGCCAGTACGGTCGAGAGAAGAGTTTTACTTTTATAAATTAAGATTATAAATTTATAAAAATATTAATAATTATAAATTAAGTTTATAAAATAATGTATAAAAAATGATACGTTTTAGTAAATATAAAACATACGTTTCCCTATATCAAAGTAACCAACATATTCTGTCTCTTCTGGCGTGATGTCGTTGAGAAATCGGTCGCAGTGAAACTCAAAGCTTGAGCGAAACATGTAACGATCATTTGTATAAAACTGCAAAATATAAAGTTCATGAAATTAATGCTATTATAAATTAATGTTATTTAATATTATGTCGGCTTTGAAAATCAAATATCAACGTTATCATTCTCATGTTACTATGATCATATGAAATTTTGAAATATAAATATATGTTAATTTCCATAACATAGTATAAATATAACAAAACGCGTATAAACTCGTAAATTAATCAAAGGAAGAAATAGAAATATAAAAATATAAAGAATAGAACAATGTAAACAAAAATAATTTATAATTTAATTATACGATTTATATGAAAATGGAGAATTTAAAATTATATAATCTTTAAAAATTAGTTTTTGGATGTGCACAAATAACTTACAAATCCATTATGTTTTCCTTCAATTATGACTGGATCATTGACTATTACGCCGTGACATACGTTTGTATTTGAATTACAGTCTACATCATGGCACCATAACATGCCATCCTTTGTAAATTTGCCCAGTTTTATGAATCCCCCTTGTATTAGGAGCAGGCCACCTAAACCTAAAGTATTAAGTATGAAAGATTTATTTATTTATATATACGTCATTTTTCTGAACTAATATTGTAACTTTTACATTCTATTTATTTCGTTAATCAAATTATATAGTTTCGTATAAACATTTTTTACCGATTTTATACCAAAGGCGCTTATGCAAAATATTCTGTATTAATGTTATAATGTTGTAATTGGTAATTTTGCGTCCTTTAGCGCGTATTTTGAGCACCATTCCCGGTTTTCGCTTACTGAGAAAATAGTTCTTTCCCGCTTTAATGTCTAATATTTGATGCATATCGCTTAGCATCATCCTTTCGGAATAATTAGGAGTATATACTTCCAAAATAGTTGTATCCCCGGACATTCCTGTTAAAATATAAGACTAATGTACTTCAAATGCGAAAGCTCAAGAATGCTTGTTATATTTCTCACCAGACTTTTTTAAGTTGTATGGTTCTCTGGTTAAATCAGGACAGGCAACAATTTCAATTTGAAATTCGTCAAAGTATTCGTGTAATTCGTACAGAACTGTGGCAATATGCAATAACAGATGTAAAGTATTAAATAACTAAATTAAGAAATAAATGTTTTATACGTACTATCTCTGACATCTTCAAGAGTAATTGAATTAAATGATGATATGGCTTTGACCTTAATTCTGAGATTATTTTCAGGCTCATTTCCGGGTTCATTTTCGGGATCAGTATCGATGTGATTTAGTTCTGATAACTCTTTACTATCGAGCTCTGGTATAGAGTCATTTTCGTCTTCCTCTCCATTGTCATTTTCAAGCTCTTCTTGTAGGACATTTTCAATTTCTTTTATAGGCTCCTTTTCTAGTTCTTCTCTGGGATCATTTGTGAGTTTACCTCTGGGATTATTTTCGATTTCATTTTTATTTTTAATGTGTTTTTCACGCTTAACACATTTTGGCTTATTCGACTTATCCATAATGCTCAATTTGAGTTTAACGCGATAATGTCTTGCTATGTAAAAATGTTATGATTTATTAGATTGCTATAAAAAAAGCAACAATTATTATATCAATAATTTATATACAGAACATAACATGTAGCAGAGTATATCAGAATTATTTTTAAAGAGAATATAGTATTATTAATGATGTACATAAATTTCAAGGATATGATGTAAAATTATGTTTAATTGTATTTTATGACATGCATTTTAAAAAGTAGATTGTTTATAATTTGAGCAAACATATCTGATATTAAAAAAGAAAATTTGTTTATTAAATTAGATTGATTTGAAATTTTGAAGATTCTCTAAGTTTTAAAGGAGATATTTAATATTATTTTTAAGAAATATTTGAATTAGAAGAAATAAAATATAGATATTCCTAGGTTCTGAGGTTATTCGATTCTTTTTCCGTTATTTTATATATTTATAATTTACATGTTTAGGAAAAATTTTTAAATGTTTTGAAATTTATCAAACACCTTATAATTATAATAAATTTGATAAAAGGCTGTTAAGAGCAGTAAATATAAAAATTCAAATTATGTTTAAAAGTGAAGTCATATATAAAGATAATATTCTTTAATCTAATGTCTAATAATGAATTACAATAAAAGATGACAAAAGAATTAAACATAAGTCCTCTTTAAATACAAATACAAAGCGAACGTTTCGGTCAATATTTTGACCATTATCAACGCTGATTAAATTCTGAATTAAAAAATGAACGGTGTCATAATGGTAACATATACATCAAGCCTAATCAAAAACGTCATAGAGTATGTAACGCATTAAAAATACAATAATAGATATAATGATTAACAAATATTATGGTAAGAAAAAAGAGAACATGATGTAAAAATGAAAAGCAATATTCCTCCAACATAGTCATAATGTGATGTTTAAAATTCGTAAATTGTGTTTCTACTCCGGTTATTAGACCCGATAGACACATAATGATTTGAATCATATGACTAGATTGCAACGTAAAATAGTAGTGTAGGAGGAACATCGAAGTGTCACACTTTGTCTGTGACATTGTAAGTGTGCGGATCTCAGGAATCGATGTTAAAACAACTTACTTAAAACAATTCTAAGCCACATTAAGATATAGAGATATAAATTATGATATGTTAAGCGCTGTGAACTTTAACATGTCGCTAAGACATTCTGTCAACTACTGATACAAGACGCTAAATTATTCTAATGACCTTATAATAAACAGAGTTGAGATTGTCTGTGTCAGTTTGAAGATTGATTGTATTTATTTGTTTTTTTAATATATAACATTTCAGCAATCTCTCTCTTACGTCTATGTTTTTCAGTATGTAAAATACAAGGGTCAAGCCACCGGAAATCGTGATTGCATTCTATTCTATGTTTGCTAACAACCGACAGATTTGATTCATGCTTTTTAATGTTGTTCTGATGTTTCTTTATGGGGTTATACCTACCTGCAAGGTCTGAAAAACACGTATTTTTGGGAATTTTTTTTTTAAATATTTGAAGTGCTTTGGAAAGGAACATTTATGTTTTCAAATATATATATTTCAAAGATTATTTAGTATTTTTTTATTGCAAAATGTTGATAAATAAAAAAGATATGCTTAATCTTCCAGAAGCAGTTTTTTGAAAAGCGTTTTGCGGTGACCACTCTAACTTTGAACTGGTTTACCAGAAATCAAAAACCCGAGAAATTTAGTTAATATATAAGATTATCTAGTGCCCGATCGTTCATTTTTTTGAAAAATTAATTTGCGACAAAATGGCGGCTGTTCAAATTTGAAGGTATGATTTTGCTACCAAAAATTCGCTCGTTTTTTTATTATTAAAAAAAAAATACGCAACGAAAAAACAAAAGCCACGATCGGGCACTAGATTTTTTAGTATTAAAGATGTCTACCAAATTTTATTTCAATCGATGCAGCGGTTTTCGAGATATTTTGGTCACCGATTTTAAAAATGCTGTTTTGAGAAAAACGCATTTGAAGTTTCAAATTAAGTTCACAACCAAATAATATATTTATATATATATATTTATATATATTTATATATATTATTTATTTATATATATTTTGGCTTTGTATAGAGACCGCTTTTGTCCGCGTCGCAGCTGCCGTTCGATACCTGAGACCCGTTTCTGTACCCTGCTTCTAAACAGCAGGATACGTTCACACCAGTATACCTTTAAACTCACATAACTTCGTTAATTTTTGTCGAATCGACTTGAAATTTGCAGGGAATATTTTTGAAAGTATGTACTTTAAGAAAATATCAAAATCCAAAAATCGATTTTTTTGAAGTTTGCAGGTAGGTATAACCCCCTATGCGAGTATTTAAATGTCTCTTTGTTTGTCCTATGTAAGAAACATTGCAATCTATAAACGACATTTGTTTTATTTAATTTAGGAGTGGTATCCTTACCTCTTTTGATAAGGCTACTTATTTTTTTCTGTAATTTATATACTACTCTTAGTCCTTTTTTCTAAGCGATTTAGAGATGTTGTCGATGAAATTTCCCATGTATGGTAACACAATGTATGTACGCGATCATTTAAGTTATTAATATTACTATTTTTCCTGTTATTATTATTGGTGTTCTTATTTTTTTAAAATTGTAGTCTTTTTTTGATATATTTATTAATGGTAAGTAATGGAAATTTATTATTAGTTAAAATCTGTTTTACTATATTAATATTATTATTATGAAATTTTTTATTTGACAATAAGATGGTTCTGTCCACTAAATTGTTTATGCAGTTAATTTTATTTTTAAACGGATGGGCTGAAAGGAAGTTAATGTATATCTCCCTGAGAAAGTGAGCTTCCTAAACCAATTAGTGATTAACTTTCCTTCACTACACCTAATAATTGTTGTGTCTAAAAAATTGATGGAATTATTACATTCTATTTCATAGGTGAATTTTAACCGTTGGTGGTAAGCATTAAAAACCGATAACATCTCATCTAATTTATTGCGTGGTATAACAGTAAAAATGTCATTGACATATCTGAAATAAACCGGAACTGTGAACTGCAATGAATTTAAGCAATGAGACTCTAGATCATCCATCACTATATCTGCCAGGATGGGCGACAGAGGGGACCCCATTGGGCTGCCAAAGACTTGTTCGTAAAATAGACCGTTAAAGCTAAAGATAGTGGAATCCAAGACAACATTAATAGCATGTATAAGTTGCTCAAGATTGAGACTGGTGTTAGGTGCAATCGTGTCCCATCTTTTTTTTATAGCTTCGATTACTAAGTCTTTCGGTATGTTAGTATATAATGATGTGACGTCTAACGAGACCAACACTTCCTCACAATTAATGCTAATATTCTTAATTTTTTCCGCGAACGACCAACCGTTTAATATGTGATTTCGGTTTATTGATGGATTTATTTAAAATATTATAGATGTATTGTGCTATATTATATACCGGACTGCCCAGCGCGAATACAATAATTCGTAGCGGAAAGCCCGTTTTATGTATCTTTGGAAGTCCGTAACATTGTGGGAGACTCCCATTTGTGCAGTTCAACCATTTAAACATTGATTCATCTATGATTTTCTTATCCCGCCAAACTTTAATAACAGCATTAATGTTATTAGTGATTCTTTTTATGGGATCTCTGTTTAATTTCCTATAGGTGGTGTGGTCTTCTAACATTGCATTCATTTTTGAAATGTAATCTTTTTTATCTAATATCACGGTGACTTGGCCCTTGTCCGCTTTCGTTACTAATAAGTTACTGTTGTTCTTTAAAAATTTTTTGCATACTGAGAAGTTTTTTAAAATGTGTTGTTCGCTAAGACTATAATTTTGTTGTTTAGTTAAAAAATTCGATAAATGATTACTAACTATATTTCTTGTTATCTCGATTGATTCGCCGTTATTTTTCTATTGTTGATACAATTTTCCACATTCTTAATTGTTTCTAATACTACTTGTTGATCATTTTTACTACATTGGTTAATAGGAAGTGCAAATCTATCGCCTAGACTCAAAAAATCCATTATAATCTTTGAAATAGAGGTGTCGCTTATATTCAAAACCCATTTTTTGTTATCTATGTTGTTTAGAGGATCAACAGTTACATTGTGTTTACTAACCAAAAAACTGAATTTTTAATCTCTATGTTCTTTTTTTTTTTATTGAAAGTCATTAAATTGTTTATGTTCATATTGAAAAATTGATTTAGAAGGTTGTGAGGTAAACAGTCTGAGAGTTTCTCTTCAATTTCTTTTGTATCACAATGCAAATGTTTAATTCTGATGTTTAAATATTTAATTTCTAAACTCAGAATTTTAAATTGATAACTTGATAATTTTACTAAATGTTTATAGATTGGAATGCATTGATTGCAATGCTTCTTACATAGGACAAACAAAGAGACATTTAAATACTCACATAAAGGAACACCAGAACAACATTAAAAAGCATGAATCAAATCTGTCGGTTGTTAGCAAACATAGAATAGAATGCAATCACGATTTTCAGTGGCTTGACCCTTGTATTTTACATACTGAAAAACATAGACGTAAGAGAGAGATTGCTGAAATGTTATATATTAAAAAGCAAACACAATCAATCTTCAAACTGACACAGACAATTTCAACTCTGTTTATGATAAGGTCATTAGAATAATTTAGTGTCTTGTATCAGTAGTTGACAGAATGTCTTAGCGACATGTTAAAGTTCACAGCGCTTAACATATCATAATTTATATCTCTATATCTTAATGTGGCTTATTAGAATTGTTTTAAGTAAGTACATTGTTGTCTCTCCTTGCACGAATTGACTTGTATTTAGTTTTAGTTTTGCGTTGCTAACTATTGATTTTTTATAATTTTAGCACTTGAAAAGGACCTAAATTTAAGGTCGAAACGTAGTGTACTTCATATCTAATAAAGACGAATTATTAATAAGAGCCAGTATGGTCGAACTAATCATTAATTTCCTTATTATAATATATCATATTTTAAAATTGCATCATGTTACTTCATTCA